CCATCTCTCCTCGCCGCCGCACGAGGCTGGCGCCGGGCCATGCCTGGGGCGCGGTCTGGGACTGCGGCGGCGGGGCCGGCTCCGCTCCGATCTGCATCGGAGGGTCTCGGATCCGGGCGGCGGCCCCTGGCGAGGCTCCCTATCTCCTGCGGCGGGCAATGGGGTTGGCGTGGTGCCGGCGATCTGGTCGGCTGGCCGACGGATCTCCGGTGGCCTAGGGCCTCGCGTGGCTGCCTTGGCAGCTGGCGGCGCCAGATCTGGCTGCTGGCCTTCTTCCCTGATCGGTGTGCTTCTCCTGCGAAGGTCCCTGGGTGTGCTGGATGGCCTGCATGTGGGATGCGGGCGATTTTGGTGGTCAGGATCCAGATCGGGGGAAACTCGGGTCGGCTCCGGCCGGCCGCGACGACGACGCCGCCCGCGGGCGTCGATTTCTTCATGGAGACGTCTGTCAAGGTCTGCCCTTCCACTCCCCACCACCTAGCTTCTCGGGTGAAAACCTAACTCCGGTGGGCGACGGCGGCGTCTTTGGCGCCGCGACCTTCTTGAAGGCGCCGCTTTGAGGGCTGGGTGGTGGCGGGCGCTATTTGGGGTCGGTGACAGCTGCCGACGGCGTGCCCTTCTTCGCCCAAGCCTCCGCTTTTCCTCCGACGTCTCCAGGTTCTCCTGGGGGCGTCGTTTTGGAGTAAGTGTTGGCTGGGGGGATGGTGGAGCGGTGCTCCATCTCACACATTGATGGCGGCGGATGTCGGCGGCATGGCGCTGTGGAGGCTCGATGTCTGATGCACGGAGATGGACTCGCGCAGGAGGAGGTTGTTGTTTGGCGTCATGGTGGCGTCAATGGCGAAGTGGCCAGACATGGTAGATGCCTCAATTTGATCCGAAGACGGACCTGTGGAAGATGGCGGCGACGACACATGAGTGCGTCTGACCGGATTATGCCCCAGACCCGGTATGTGGCTCGGCTGGGGCTTCCGAATGTGTTTCGGCTTCCGGCTTTTGATGTTAGGTTTACGTGAGTGGTCTGGGTAGTGGCCCGACTAGCACCCCTTCATCATATTGGATAGGAGTAGTGGCATATGTTGCCAAGATGGTGGATTCAGGCACATTGGTGTAATACTTTGTATGGTCCTCGAGAATAATCAATAATTGGCCGTATGCATCTTCCTGATGCAGAGGCCGGGGGTCATCCTCCTTTTCTAAAAAAAAATTGAGTTAATGAAAAATGAGGCCGAGAGGGCTAGAGAAAAATGTAGCATTGTGTACACCATGGGAATGGCCTCACGGCAAAGCTCTTGTGGTCTCCCTTGGTACATGTGTGTGTGTGTGTGTTTCTTCTTGTCTTGTGTGTTCTTATCAGACACCATGAAAGAGAGAGGAGAGAGTCATGTGAGAGGAGGAGGAAGAAGACGGCGCCGCGAGGAGGTGGCGCCAACAGATCTTGCGGCGCAATCTGGCTTGCCTCTTTTTTTTTTCTTTCGTTTGGTTGTGTTTGGCTGATTTTGTGGACTAACTGTTATGGTTTGTTGTTCAAATCAGGTGGTGATGTTTCTGCTGGGCGACACAGGGAGCCGGTTGGGCAAGCTCCCTGTTGATTCCGCTCTTGGTTTGTGCTTTTAGTTTGATTAAATTTTATTGTTGGCTGTTGTTTGTTGCCTGTCTCCGCTATCCGCTGCCATCGTCTCACCCTCGGCAGGCCCTCTTCGCCTCCTCTGTTCTACAAAAAAACAGTAAGTAATCCTTACCTCTCCATATGGGATGATAGATTGCAATTGTTTCAGTACTAAGGTTGAGATGTATGCACGTTATGATTGAGCAATAGGGAAGACCATGCAATTTGGCGTTTGATCCTAGGCTGGAGGCTAGCTGGTGCAAAAGCTATGAATTTCCCTTCCTGTGATGCATATAGTAGGCTAGCTTTCTCTTAGTTTCTTTCGTCCGCGCTTTGGCATTTGTTCAACTGCTACATATATCTCAATGAAAAAGCTAGCACTTCCCGAATCTTTCAAAAAAAAAAAAGCAAGGCATGAAGTTGTAGTCCCATGTGAATTATATTTTATCTTACTCCAAAATTAGTTCAGATATATGCATATGTTACTGGCAGATTTCTATATGAAATTTACATTCTTTATTTGCGTTGTTAGATTTTTCATGGAGCAGGCAAGCTTATGAACTTTACAGGCTGGCCTCGATGTATCCTCTGGTTATTCTGACATAACCTCATGTATGGCCTATAGGCATGTAAACAGACTTGCAGATAATAGTACCATGATGATAGATACATGCCAGTGTTTGCGGTTTCTGTCGCCTTATTAGATCAATGTGTTTGATGTTGTTTCACTGAAACTCATATTTGTTCCATTTGTGACTTGCAGTTATGTACGGGTTTCAGTCCAACAAAAACAAATTCTGGTTTATAATAAGTGAGATACCTCTCAAAATAATGTTATTATGCCAGCGGTACGCTCCAGTTTTTTTTTTAAATCTTGATGTTGAAGGGGAAAAACAGCTACGTACAATTCATTGGTTTGTTTAAGCAAGGCATGGAATGTTGTTCCCTGTATGTAATACAGTATGCCAAACAGCCCTCTGATCTATTTATCATATTATAGGTCAGGCACTCCCTTCTTCCTCCGCTCTAATGCCAAACATCACACTCATTTTAGGAGTTGGCCTAGGAATCCATGGAAGATAATGCTGAGATTAAGCAATGGCTTACTTGGGGAAGAATACAATGAAGAAGGGTGGTCTAAATGAGTTTATCCGACCATCACTACGATGTTAAAATTTTGGCTATTAAACTGAACGTTACACATATGTAACTTGACTGTAACAGACCCTACAGAAAATCTATGAACTAACCATTATTAGGGAAAGATTATGCTTTTCTGTAATACATCAGAACCAACAGAATTAAGATTTTAGTTTAATGTCTAGGAACTGTGAAAACATCTCTTCCTTACAGTTTTATAGAGTTTAAATGATTGATTGCACACACAAATTGTAATGTCTCGGTTCACTTAATGGGGTAGCAGGGTGTACTCGCTAATGATAAGTTGAAGTTTACGGGCAGTATGCCAATATATGCTTTCTCACCCTCTGATTGTCCCGCACATGGTAATAAGTGACCTTCCCTATATTCTTTTTGTTGGTAATACTCTCCTTGATGTGTCCCAGAATTTTATTTGAAGGAGAGCTTTTTGAGGTGTTATGTAATTTGCGCTCTTTGGGTTGGTACATACTCTACTTTAGGTGTTACATTTTTCCTCGGTGTTAAATCTCTTTAGAAGACTCTGCTTTGGATTTGGAAAGTGCAAAAGCTGGGTTGTCTGCTTTGTTCTATTTCCAGCAAAAAGTGCACAATCACTTAGTTGCTCCTGAAAATCACCATCAGAATTAACTTTCCTGTTCATTTCAAGATCATGGTTACCATAAAAGTGGCATTTATGTTACTTACACTTCATTATGAACTTCACAAAAATTGGAGGGTGTGTGCTTCCCTTTTAATATTCATAG